AAATTCCTCTCGGGAACCAAACCAGTGTAGAATTTTCGCTACAGTATTTATTCTCTTAAACATTTTACATTGCATTTAGAACTCTTCTATTAATTTTATTGGTCCATACAGTCTGGTGTCTAGGATTTCTTCCTCTATAGTTCAGAAAATAGCTATTTGACCCATATTCGCTTTTTGATTTCTGGAAATATATTTCCAATTCCCATTATATTTTCTAGACTTACTGCACCTATTAAAGGGAATCGGATAAATTAGCAGACTTTCCCTGTTGTTTCAAAAATAACTGAACTTCGCAAAGTGTGTTTTTTGGTATTTTTCGCCAATATTTTTAAGTAGTCATAATTAGACAAAAACAAAGCTTCTGCGATTTCCATTAGACTATAGTCTATAGATAAAAGCTGAGTTAAAAAAAAAATCCAATCAAGTTTAAAGTATAAAATCAATCTTTTATATTCATAAAATTAATACGACTATAAACTACAAACAGATGATGCAACTTTTTTTTAGGTACAATCTGTCTCATTTATGTAGGTATAATCTGAAATTTATATTTTTCATCCCTGATTCAATTTATAGTTCATACATACATGGCGTATGAGTAACATTGAGCTTTTTGGAGTTGCAATCACAACCGCAGTGTTGCGCGAATGAATAAATCATCACGTTCGTTGTGAATTTCTAGCAACGTTTTATCAATTAGGAAGTTGCAACAGTCTCGCTAATTTTCATCAGCGTTGCAGTATTTTGCATTTGTTAAGTGCCTCGAACAGCCTCATTCTTTCCTAGTCATATTCGATAAAAAATTAATTATTACGCATTCATTTTACCATTTACAACTTTATTTATCAGGATTTAACTCAACTCAAAAAAAATTACAAAAAAAAGTTTTTAAATATTTTCGCTATTAAAGTTTGATTTTTTTTCATTTACAATGACCTGATCTAGAGAAACGGTATACAGGGCCGTAATGTACGACTTGTATTGTCCCTACATTGTAATCGCCATTAAAATGTATAAGGTTTCAAGGTGGGTACGTTTTACATAGTAGCTCCTATGTCATCTCAATTTCGGAAATACGCAGTGTAGGGTGCATTCGAAGAATTACGAATGGCAAATATACCGCCAGATAAACCGGCTGTGAAAAATAAGTAGCTTTGTATGAAGGAAAGCATAGCTTAAATGTAATGCATACGTATGTACATACATAAATATCTATAAACAAATCTGAATGCGCTCACCACTCTCTCATTTTCTCTTCGTACTCGTGCTCATGCCAAAGTGCAGCGTCGCAGCAATAAACATTTTTGTGTTTTATACAATATTAGCGGTGCTTTGCGTTCGCAGAGCTTCATAAAGTTTTTGTGTGCTGTGTGGAGTGGACGTCGGCTAAGCAGAAGAAAAAATAAATAAATAAAACAGGTGAGTGGTTAATGAGTGGGCAAAATGTATCGAAATGTATTAAAAAAGAGTAGCACTATTGCGATTTTTTTTTGTTTTGCTTTTTCATCTTTTACGGCAACTTGCCGTGTGTTGAAAGCCATTGACTCTAGCCACCTGGTTGAGTAAACCTTTGGAAATTGCATAAATTGTATACTTTTTGGAATATTTACATAAATTTAGGGCAAATGTCAAAATGCTTACGCAAACGTATTTACGCAAATCGCAGTGGCAGCTTTTAAGAAACGTGTGCAAGTAATTGTTAAGGTGAAAAGGAGAGAGTAAAGTACAACGGTGATTAAAATATTAGCTTCCTAGCCGCCGTTCAAAAGCTTTAGTTTAAACATTTAGTGTCAAGCGCCAAGGGGAAAAGTTTACATCACAATTTTCCATTTCCATTGCTGGGCAGCATCAAGTTTTAAAAGTTACAAGTAGTTTTTTTTAGTTGCGAGCTTTTATATTTATTTTGCTCATAAAAATGTATATTATTGCTTAATATATATGTATATAAGTAATTTTCATTCTCCAGCACCATGTCCTTCCTTGTCGTTTTACTCATTCTTTACATCATTTGGGATGTCAACTATTTCATTCGCTGCATTTTCACTGTCCTAGCTGGCCGTCTGTTCCAGGGTAAACGCAAAGTCACTGACACCACAACCATCTATGGTGAGTCATAATTACTTATTTTTTTTTTTAACTATTCCTTTTAATCCACCTCAATTTCTTTCAGGTTTGTGCACCTCGCAGGATGTCGATATCTTCATTCGTCACATGAATAATGCTCGATATTTGCGTGAATTGGATTTTGCACGCTTTCATTTTTATGCGCTAACCGGCCTGTACGAGCAAGTACGCCAGCGCAAAGGCGGTGCCGTACAGGGTGCCTCGAGCGTACGCTATCGCCGCACCATTCCCATTTTCCATCCATACAAAATTCAGACAAAACTCATCTGGTGGGACGAGAAGGCAATCTATTTGGAGCAATCATTTGTGACATTGTCGGATGGGTTTGTGCGCGCTGTGGCCCTCTCGAAACAATGTATCACCAACTGTGATGTGACGGAGGTGATGAAGACCTTCCCGGAAGCTAGCACGCGACCGGAAATGCCAGCCGATCTAAAGCTGTGGTTGGACTCGATTGAAGTATCTAGTCAGAAGTTGCGCAAGGATAAGTGAATGAGGAGTGTTTTTAATAATGCTGACTTTAGTTTTTTTTAAGATTTTTATGATGTACATATACACCCACTTATATACTCATATTTATAGGTAATACAATTTTACTTTTTATATTTTCTTGCCAAGTAAAAGCGTCGTGACGGAGAAAAATTAATATTTTACTTAATTATATGGTCATACTCATTTAACAAGCAGTTGCGTTAAAATAAAAACCAAACAGCTTATTTTCAAGTAAAACTTACATACATATGTACCGAAGCGCTTATTAAAAAAACTCAAAGTTCAATAACACAGTTCGTATTTCAACACATAAAATCGCAGTGAGCTCGATAAACATTTACCTTAGTACGCTTTTATTGTCTTCCTCAAGCTGAATAAAATTGTTGAATATAAATTGTTATTCATAAAGCCACAACAACAACAACAACATGAAGCGTAATATGTAGCACATTAGTGTCAAAGGTGTCTTCAGTTCTTAAGGCTGGTTTTCACTATGTCAAATTCAGTGGCATTTGTCATCAAATAAGTGAAAAC